ATGTGAAGCAGAAATTTAGCTAGTTTGTTTAAAACTGTTGTCCCTTTAACAGTTACACAGCCCGTGTGTGTTAGACTATTGTGGCTGATGTTACAAATCAATAAGTACAACTGTTTTATGGCAGCATTAGATTTTTTAAAAATGATTTTCGTATCAATGTGATTAAGTATCACAACCTGTCAGATATTCAACTTACAAGATTTGCCAAAAACAAATATTCTTCTCCTCTCTTTTTAAAATCCATTAACGATTGATTTTTTTCACATAATGCATGGCGGTTTTATCTGATGACACAGCCCACTGTATATCAGTATTATGCCCCCCCAAAAAATTGTATAATGTTATATTGGATTTTATACATATCATCCACAGGCCATTTGCACTTGAGAAAGAGAGAAAGAAAATAATATAAAAAAAAGTAAGAGTAAACACTGAAATAATCAATGTTTAATATATACGAGTTATTTTATGGGGCAACAGCAGTCATCGGTTTTACTTTATATTTACAGATAGTTGATGGTGGGCGACATGTTTTGGGTCTTCTTAGAGGAAAAGGTCAACACAAATCAATACAAAGATGTTCTGAGTGATCACGTTCATCATATGATGATACATTTCTTCTAGTGTCTGCTAGGATGACAGTAATCATATCGATAGGGTACGAGGGTCACATATTTGATAAGTTTGAAAATGATGTGAATCGTATCCTAGAAACAGTCACTGAAGACTTAAGGAAGACATTCGACTAATGTGTTTTCCATCATCAACAAAACACCAAATGAGGAAATATCATTTGGAAAAATGGTGTTCGTTACTGTAGCAGAGTTCAAAGGCTTGGAGAATCAATGCCAAAGAGCTCCACGTGTGTTGGTTACTCATAAATCTACACACTGAAGTGTCAGGTTTCAAGTTAGTAAATTGTGATAAGGAGGAAGGTGCAATGGCATAAGTCAGATGCTGGACTTTCACCCAAGAGAATATAGCTTTCAGTCCTATTATTTCCCAAGATTTCCCAGCAGGACATTGCATTGTAATGAGGTGATCGATGTTATTATCCTCTTGTCAGTGGTTTTAATCTTGTGGTTGACTAACCAGCATGCATAGACATTCCTCATGAAGATATTCCGAAGCTCTATACCTCTATAGAGTAAGACATAAAGATTAAATGAAATCTATAAAGCCAATAATAGGCAAACAGGGTCATTTTAGGTTAAAAATCAACAGTACAAATTCTCCTAATTGAATAAAAACATAAAGATTATCAATAATGCAGCCTACCTCAAATAAATATGTGAAATTGTCGCATTGCTGCAACATCCTTCTCATTATTTTTCTCTCTTCAGTTGGATGTAAAAAAGAGAGATGTGGAGGAAGGCAACTCTGAGAACTTGCAGCTGTTTGGGTGTTTACAAAATTATAGGTGCTGGGAGGAATGTATTTGCTGCAATTACCATTTGTTCACTTGCAAGTGATGAAAGAGGCATAATATTTTTCACAGTTAGCTGTGTGTCAGAGTTATTAGGTTTACTTGAGGATGCGGAGCATTTAGGGCATATTGTTCGAGACTGCAACACTTGCAGGAAATGGATTTTCCAGCACTAATATTCTCTAGCCTGCACACACTCGGCTAAGCTGCCCATCTTTTGGTTCACGGTCAGTCACGGTCCCATTTTCTTTTAGAAATGAAGCAGTTTGCAGAGGGGCTACGTCACCAGCGCTTGATGTGCTGCTGTGACAGATGAAACGAGCCAGACTGAGAAAAACAACCATCCACAGTTTATCCTATATATGCTGCTTACAGAGACATATTTTTTTATCTTATAAAATATATAAATTAAACAGTGAGACCTGTCAGTAGCAGAAAGGTGACACATCGTTTTTTGTGTGTGCTCTGCACTCCAGCACTGTGAATCTTAAAGGAAACAATAATCCTCAAGGTGAAACTACCGACTTTCAGCCAATGCTTTACAGCTGATGAACTTTCTAGATACAGTAGCCCTTTGTATACAAACTGTACTGTTCGATGTGGATCTTTAATCTCAAATCTATTGTTCATGTTCTATATGGTGTAGTGTAGTGAAACACTCCAATTGATTACATTACGTTTGGGGTAAGTTGTTATTCCCTGTCTGCTATTTCCAGCAGTGATTTATCTACAGTTCACCTGGTCAGCATCATTTCCACTACATAACAATATCAGCATGGGAGGAAATAAATGCAACCTTCGATTGTAGATGAATACTAAGCGCAGTGTTG